TCTTCTTTCTGCTTCCTTTCTTCCTGGTGAATGCCCTGGACAGTGAGTTTTCTTTTCATCAAAAGCGAGGCACACAGATCTAACGATCTCATTACCTTGTCATTACATTAGCCAAGGCTACCTCTACACGCTCAAGGAACAAATTTTTCAGATTCCTGCAGATCAGCTTTTGTACAGCTCAACAGACAACACAATAGAAAATTAGTGAGTTTACTTGATGGGTTTAGCTAGCAGAATGATTGCTGCAAAGTTTGCTCACAGGATTGGAATAAGGAGCTGCAGCAGAGGGCCCTAGACTATTTGAACGGGAAGATGATGATGATCACTGGAGAAAGGTTTGTCTTCGAACTTTTGTCAATAAAGCCTTTCATTTTCCACGGACATAATAACATGAGTTCAGGACTTACCCAAAGAATGATACTGTTGTCCTAGGAACAAAGCTGTTCAAAGCCTTCTCAAGCATCATTTGGAGGAGAAGAAATGAGGTGAGCTTGAAAAGGGAACTAACCGTGGTCACATACATGTAGGTGTGAATTTGAGGTGTATCGTGAAGACCTTTTTCCCTTCACTGCTCAGCCCTATCTCTATGAACGTTTCTACGAAAATTGTCTTCTTGGTTCACACGTTTTACTGCCCGCACTGCATTTTTGGGGACTTTTGAACTTACGAACAGTTTGGGTATAGCGAGCGATGACGATTGAACTTTCCAGATAGCGGATAAAATCTAACGTTTAATCTTTGTTTAAAGATGTAATACTTGATCTTTTCGAGGTCGCCGCTCTCAGTGGTGCTCCGCAAGTCGGATGCAACTTCGTTCCCAGCAGGAATTCAAAAGAAGATCTAGTTCTGAAATACGCTTGCATCTATATTCAAAACTGAAGAAACCTGTTAACACAGTTATTGGGGCTCTCAATAAAACGATCATTCGAGTAAAACGAACAAAGGCGTCATGATGTAAAAGGAACTGTATTGCTTCTTCCTGAGCAGCCATTCAAAGCGTGTCATGCCCTCAAATTGCGAGCACAATTCCGGTTCATCCGGTATAATGAGTGAGCAATGAGAAGTGAGCATTGACTGATTTGTAGGTTAGCTGGCATCCCACCCTCAACTCCCTACTAACAGCAAGCTTATTCCATGAATGAATCAGTATAGAGGTAAGTTGAAGGAAAAACAGTTCAGAGCTCCTTATCTGTAGCTGACTTACCCGCCCAAACGCGCTACCATGCGCCCAAACGCGCTAGCCCCCTAGCCCCAGGCCCCGCTAGTCCCAGAAACTTGAACACCACCCAACCAAGAAACAAATACTCTGCAGTTCCACCAACATTGCCGTCCCACTCGATTTTGTGAACAACAAGGGAAAATGAGACACCATTGACGGTCGTTAAATAAGAGTTACGCGGAAATCTTGATCGGTTGCAACGTTGGTGGAACCGCAGAAGGTTGATTTCTTTGTTGGGATCTTTTGGTGTTCAAGTTTCCGGGAGCTGTTGCAAGTGGGCTGGCAGGTTTGGGCACATGGTGGGGTAAGTCACATATCAGCAACTTCGAAATGCTTTTAAGTCCCTGAAGACGACGATTTGTTTGCAACGTCGACCAAATAAATCGGTTCCTATGATAACACAACGAAGCTGGCCCACAAAGCAGTGGGAAACTGTATGCAATATGCCCAGGTTTCTATTATAAGAGACCGAACGTGGAAGTTATTGTTCTGAGTACTGAATATCCTGTTCTGTTAAGATTTCATCTTGCGTCAGCACTTACGCACAGTTTGAACAGTAAAGCCCGGGGGATGGTCAAGTCGTGCGTCCGAGAGCGCGCGCGGCAAATTGCGCGGCGAAATTCATACCTATTCTGAGGACTTTAGCGCCTATTATTTGTGCACAGTTTTGAAGTACAGTAGAATAGTAAGATCAGCTGACCTTACAAATCTACCCAACTTCAGGTTTGGGCCCTTATAATAAGCGCCGGAGCCGTCCAAATTCGCCACGAACTTCGCCGCGCAATTTGTCACGCGCGCCCTCGGACGCA